TGTGGGTGTGGGTGTGGGTGTGGGTGTGGGTGTGGGTGTGGGTGTGGATTCCTCCTATCTTCACCCAAAGAATAAGTCATAATAAAATAAAAAAATCTATATTGAAATTTACAAGTTTTCTTCTGAAACTATGTTTCTTATCTAAACTTTTTATGTGTATACCGCACCTCACACTTGAACTTAAGTATTCAACTATCTATCTGCAAGAAGATGACAGTGGCGGATGAGAGGGGGCGGGCAAGAGTGTACAGGGAGCATGGGTGTAGAGGCCTGCAGGGCAATATATTTTAGCAACCTGTACTCTGCTCTGCTCAGATTTTGACAACCTTTAACCTGCCCTGCCCTGCTATACATTATAAAAAACTCTAAACTTCCATATCAATTTGTTATACAATTTTATTTAATCCATTTTAAATCATAGAGTGAATAAATAAACAAAAATAAAATCACAGATCTCGAAAATTTCAAATCATTAACATATCGTCTATAACATCTGAACTTAATGCTCTGTATAATTTTATAAAATATGTTTTTAGTATTTAGTGTGAAAAATTTATAACAGGTTGACAGGTTACGACCCTCGTACCTTGCAGCCTGCCCTGTAAAAATTTCCATAACCTTGTCCTACCCTGTCCGGCCAGGGCAGGGTAGGGCAGGGCAAGTTAGCTCAACCTGCAGGGCTCTACATAGGTGATCGTAGAGCACAGGGAACATGAGTGAGTTTAAAGCACAGGAGACATAGGTGAGCGTGGAGCATAGGGCATACGGGTGAGTGTAGAGCTCAGGGAGAATATGAGTAAGGAGAGCAGGAGTAACTGAGCAAGTAGAACATCATTGACGACGAAGGGAAGAGAAATATATAAAGAGAATATTTTAATACTTGAAGTAGACAATTGAATTCCACTTTCAAGTTTGATACTACTCAATTTTTATTGAGTCAGTTTTCCCTATAATACGAAATCCTACCCCTTCACAGGGGCCTCTAGTGTTTGAGTCTATTGTAACAATTTAAACTTAAGAAAGTAATTGATAATATATTTTCTTTTAGTAATTGTTGCAATGTTTATAACTTTGATATAAACATAGTTATTATAATTTGTTTTCTATTGGTCTAAACTACAGTATCATATTTTCTCGTAAGCGCAGTTTATCGATAAACTCTTATTTTTCTAGTTTATCAGATTTTTATCAGTGACATACATCCTCACTTAACTATTTTCAATGAAATATTTACATATATATATATATATTATATTTTTCTTTTCTTAGCATCATCATCATCTTGCCAGTTAACGTTTGAATTATTAACTAGACAAGTCGATAGCCAACAAGCAGAAGGCTCAATTGCTGTGAGTGATTTTAATAACGATGGTCTATGGGATATTATTTTAACTCTTTTTCGCCAGTACACTAATATAGTAGTGTTTGGGGATGGCTATGATTCCTTCACAAGATCAATAACGATAAACACGGAATGTTCCACGACTGGAACATATGTCATTGCCGCTGATATCAATAACGATGCTCAGATGGATATTGTTACTGCTTGTGACGGGGGTCCAAACCTAGTCAGTATTATACTTGGAAATGGTGATGGATCTTTTCGTGAGGCAATAGTATATTCAACAGGAGAAGACGGATATGCCATATGGCTCGACACCGGCGATTTCAATGGTGACGGTAACTTAGACATTGTTGCCTCTATATATGGAATTTCCGGTAATCGTACTGTAGAAGTGTTGTTTGGGGATGGTAATGGATTCATCGGAGGACATACACGGTTTTCGACAGGACAGAACGACCCTTCGTGGTCACTTGTTGTTGGTGATTTCGATAATGACAGACAATTAGATATTGCTATCGGCAAATTTTATGTGCCACAGATAGTTGTGCTGCTAGGATATGGCAATGGGAGTTTTGGACCACCCATAATCAAT